AGGAACTCAAAACGTGTGCTACAATAGGTCTTCCTACCCAGCTTTGTGAGTATGTTCATGTGTGTGCTCTGTTAATGGACACATACACACATGCATATGAGACACTCACTTTTAGCTATTTTTTTTTTTAATTTTTTTAGACAACGTCTCGCTATGTAGTTCAGGCTGGCCTTTAAACTCATGGCAATCCTCCCAAGTGTTGAATTACAGGCATGTGCTACCACATCTGGCTCCACACACATTCTTTTTAAAAACTAATTTTAACAAATGAAGGGCAAAAGAACTCCTTAATCATAACACAAGGTTTGAAAAACCTGCTGGGCACTGTGGTGTACGCCTGTAATCCTGGTACTCGGGAGGGTAAGGCAGGAGGATCACTGTGAGTTTGAGGCCAGCGTGGGCTGTAAAGTAAGTTCAAGGCCAGCCTGAACTGCATAGTGAAACCCTGTGACAAACAAACAAAAAAAATCTACCTGCTTTTTACTGTATATTTTTTGTTATTCTGCTTATAAATGGTTTCTCTGATGACTAAGTTATATACTTATTTTTCTTTAGAACTTTTATAGTTTCTGGGTTTTAAAAAATATTTGATATTACAGATCAATTAGGTTAGATGTTAAAAATAAATGGGAAGCAAGAAGAGTACTTGATTATTTCTTTTTCAAACGGTTCACTAAGATCATTTTGTGACTCACTCATCTTTACCCCCATGATCTGAACTGGCAGATCTGACACCTGTTTTTATGTCTCTTAGTTTACTCTGCTGGGTCAGTGTGACATTTCACTTTTTAAATTATTATTTTGGAACCCTTTAATGAGTATAGAAACTCATACAAAGATCCATAACACAAAGATCACACTGTTTTAGCTAATTATTGCAACTTCCCAGATATTTTAGGCATCTGACTTTTTTTCATGGGTCTTCATGATTATCAGTGTTTTCCTGGTGAGCCTGCCGAGGCACAGTCACACCCCTTCCTTAAGCACACGGGGCAGGGCAGATCTGAGAGCCTGAGAAGCCCCTGGGCTTGAAGGGTTAGGCAGCAGCAGACGGTACGGACGTCCTCTCTGATGGGCAGCGTGCCGGAGATGTTTCTGACCATAGGTCATAGGCAGAGAACTGGCTGCAAGAAGAGCCCTAACAGATGGCCAAGATGGTTCGTCACACTGGTTGGTGGACATGGTCAAGAAGGCAGAAACAGTCTGGACTGTTACAACACCAACTGCAAATGTCCTCTTAACTTCTCCAGTGTTTTCTAGAAGGCAATGAATGAGTCAGTCTCCTGAGATACGATACCACTTGAAACCCTTCAGAACTTGACTTTAAACTGTTTTGATGACCCAGAAATAGGAAGCAAATGTGCAGAGTGGGATTTAAGCCATTCATATTGTTGCACTGGTGGGAGGGCTCACCAAATAATATTTTAAGTTTTACTGAGTATCAAATTAGGAACATGGTTCAAAGAGGAAAGACTTATCTTGAAAAGAACATATATCAGGGGCTGGGGATTTAGCTCAGCGGCATGAGTGCCTGCTTTGTAAGCAGGCAGTCGTGAGTTCAATCCCTGGTACCGATAAAAATGAAAAAGACCAAAAAAAAAAAAAAAAAAAGAAAAAACATATATCTTTTGGCGGTGGTATTTTTATACGCAGTATACAGTCACGGGGATAATCAGACAAATCTGGTTCAAATCCTACTCTGTCACTCAGTAGCTGTGTTACCTTTGGAAAGTTAGTGTCTTCTCTGAGCCTTTTCTCTCTTTACAAGACTATTGTAGGAAGTACCGAGATAATGTTTTTTAGAAAAATAAATGTTACATTGATTATCCAACTGTTACTTTCATCACATAGCTGAGAAAATTGATGCTCAGCACCAATCAACCAGTAAGTGCAGGCTTTGAACTCAGGTTGATTCTAGCACCTGCTGTCTTGTTTCTGATACACTGAGCAGCGTGGTACATGACTCTGAAACAGTCCCTGGCCCTGGGAAATATCCAGTGCTTGGTGGCTGCGGTGCTTGTTATTTTTCCATGATTTCGCAGGACTCTCTGGCCACGATAGCTCATCCATTCTGCATCCACACAGTTTTTGCTGTAAAAAACTTGAGTTCCCAGGATTGATTTTTCCCTTTTCTTTGGATGCTTAAATCACAGGTGCAGTTGCCAAAAGAACTGGCATAAGAGCAGAATCATCTGGAAGAGGAAGAAGTTGAAAGAGTGACTCTGGGGCTAGGCTTGGAGAGGACTGTGGCAGTGGTCCTTCTGCGTACAGGAGGTGGAACAGGGACTGTGCTGACATCCGAGACGGGTATCAGTAAAAAGCACAACGCTTGAACCGCAGCCAGACAGGGTGAAGGAAGGGGGAAGGAGACAAACAATAGTAAAAATCACCGGCAATATTTTCTACTTGCAACCAGTTTGAGTGACTTAGGTGAAATTTAGAATCATGTGTTCAGGAGCGGAAGCTAAAAAATGTTTTTATAAACATTCGCTTTATTATTGCTTTCTTCTGGTAAATAATAAATAAGACAGAAGTGGTAATCATTTATCATAGCCCCATTTCTGCCCCTTTCATCTCCTCTGGTGTAATTCACTGCACAGTATGTTAAAGGGAACGGGTCATGTTTCAATCCATGGAAATGTGAAGAGTGAATTGAACTCCTGGCCCTTCTGCAGCTCTGAAATGAAAGGACTGCACAGTAGCTGATCTCTGGAGAATCCCTAGTGCTTTCATTTCCAGCCTTTTCAGCTCCAACCCCGCCTTTCTCCCTTCGTGACTCTCCTGAAGTTGGGGTGTGTTCTTCCCACAGGGGCACCCTAGAGGAACAGAGCACTAAAGTCACAGGATGTGAAGGAAACAAAGAGCCAGCAGAAAAAATAATGAGAACAAAGTAGACCCTGCCTGTGGGAGGGATGACCAAAAAATACAATGAGTTTAAATTTTAAAAATTGTTAAAAAGTGCCTGGCATGGTGGTACATATCTGTAATCCCAGGACTGGCTGGCAGACTGAAGCAGAAAGAGCCCCATGAGTTCTAGAACAGCTGGGGCTACATAGTGAGTTCAAGGTCATGAGCCACATAATGAGTTCTTTTCTCAAAAAAATGGAAAAAATAAATAAAATGAAAATGTAAAAGAAAAAAAAAAACCAGCCATTAATCCCCTCCCCAATACTGCCCCTTAAATGTATGTGCCCAATGTTCTTGCCACTTTTTAAAGCTCTTTTTTAAAGAGTCTTTTTGTGGCTGCATCCACATCCTGAATTGATTTAAAATGTTGATGGCAATCTGCCAAATAAAAACAATGTGTAATGTCCTTGTCCACTTTATTCACCAAATCTGGTACTGTGTAAGCTCGTCCCCAAAGATAAAATGACCATGCAAGGTTAAGGTTTTGAATGCATTTAGGACAGTGAGGCAGCCAGGATTTTTGAAACTGCTTTAAAAAGCAGCCAAGAACGATGGTGTAAATGTGTTTAAAGCAAGGAGGAAGGTTTTGAGGGGGATTGATGATAATGCGTCTTTTTAAATCATTCGTTGCAGTATTTGATCACACCTGGTGTAAACATTTCCTGGCAGTGTTTCTACTTATGAGGACAACAGGAGGTAGCATGGTAGTCTGTAGAAATAAACTGGGGGAAGGATAATACAGTTATCAACAGGCTTTTGACATAGTTTAGGAGTCTAATTTGATCTCTGTTGTGCTCCTCAAAAGCCCTCCAAAGGAAGATGGCCTACAGGATTAAAGTCCTTATCCTGTCCTTTAGGACACTCTGTTTCGGGGCCCCAACGTACTAATCCAGTCTCATCCACCCCACATTCTTTATATTCATCCTGCTAGACCAGCCTTCTACCACCCTGTGTCTCTTCTCTGTCTGTCTGTCTGTCTCTCTCTCTGCCTGACACAGAATCCACTCCCACCGGATGTTCCCCTCCTGTCCTCAGTTTGTGAGAGCCCAACCCATCTTCAAAGCTGGGCTCCATGCCATGTCCTCCCAAACAAGGTTCCCAACAAACTCCAACCTGCGTTCTTTCCTCCAATCTCCTACAGCACTTAATTATCTGTCTTAGGCACTGGATGCATAGATTTTGGGGGTTTGTATTAACCGAAATGGTATGGACCTAGGAATTAGGAAACGTAGCTCTTGTCGTTTTTCTCTCTTCTTTACCTGACGAACACTTAGCACTTGCCTTCTTTCTCTTTCCCTAGAATCGCAGGTGACACGTAGCAGGCAAAGCAGGCTGGAAGTGGATGGCTATAACAGGGAAAAACTTAAAATAATATATTATTTGGAAGGATGAATCAAGAGAAAGAAATGTGGTACTTACAGTTTTAAAAGATAATTTGGAGTGTGCAAAAGTGGCTAAATTTAAGAGTTACGGTTTTCAATCAAGTAATTAGCTAATAGCTTTGTTTTCTCCAATATGTCCAGAAAATATCCTCATATACAAGCAGTTTGGTTAAGAAAGGGCTGCAATAAATAAACCTTTTTACTCTGATAAGAGAAAGCACTCTAAGCATATTTAAAAGCTTAATGTATACTAGGAGTTGATGTTCTGGAAAGTCCTGTCAATTTGCCTGTTTACTCACAGTATTAATAAAGTCAGGAATTTTAAGAAGTGTTAGTAGTCCTGCAGGAGGATTTTAATTCCAGATATACTTTTTAAAAGTTATATAATTTCATCTCAAAAGAGGAAGCAGTTCACATTATATTCTTTCTATTCATGTTTTTGCCCTAAAGATCTTATTTGAAGGTTTTGTTTTAAAACTCACCATCAATTGACAACACTTATGTATGGTAATTTTTTTCTATTATTACCCTGCCAGAATTCACCACTGGCCATTAGATATTATAAAGAAGATCTTTTGGGGGCTGGGGATTTAGCTCAGCAGCATAAGCACCTGCTTTGCAAGCAGGCGGTCGTGAGTTCAATCCCCGGTACCGATAAAAAAAAAAAAAAAAAGAAGATCTTTTAAAATTCAACTCATCACTTTATTCAAATGTATGGCATTAAGTTAGCAGAATACACCATACAGGAAAATGAAAGGGCTAAACTATATGTAGCACTGAGGTCAGGGTTGAAGAAGATTCCCTTAGAATTCAGTGTTATCTATGCCTGCAAGGCACCGAAGTGCTAAGGTTTTTAAAGAGTAGTTGGAACACAAAGCTAAGAGCATTTGCTATACAGTATATCCTCATGGTGTCTAGGGTTATCCCTGAGCTTTTCAGATGTCTACTATAGACGTCATTAAATAAAGTCTCACCAAAAAGGAAAACCCTTTAGTAAATTTTATTTTTCATAATTAGTAAAGATACAGATTCTAGTGCATGTGTGAAGGCATGTGACATCACTGCTAAAGATGAAGGTTGCAGATAGGCTGAGAAATTAAAATGCAAGAAAACTCGGGAGCAGCAAATGCCATTGGTTTTTATTCTGGGACGGACAAAGTTTCTTCACCCTTGACTTCACAATGCAGTGTCAGGAAAACCTAAACGCTTTCCATTTCACTTGTGAAATCACTCCATTGACAAGTGAATTAATAATCTACTTCTAAACGCATAATGAGAGGAAAGTAACAAAATATATACACATATGCTGTTTTAATCTCAGTGTCTATCTACAAAAGCATATGGTTATAACAGTTACTGTCTAATATCTCTATGAGTTACAGAAGCCAGTGATCACTCTCATTTTTAAAAGGCTTTTGGGCTTGGTCATCTGAAGATGCTTTTAAAGTATCAGCTATCATTGTTCTCCTTGTCCCCCCAAGAAATTAATAAAATGCATGTTGATTTCTTTCAAAGTGCTCCAGTTAAAAGGAAACAGTGAAAAACATACAGAAACATTACCTTGGACACGTTTTTTCTTTATGATAACAACAAAAAAATTGTGCAATATAAACAACTTAAGTTTGGTTTTATTTTCTGTTTTTTCTTTTTAACAAGTAATTCAAGAATAATACAGGTTACACAGCTGGAAGCTGCCTCATCAAGGAAGATGACAAAATGTGCAACAAATACCTGCTGGTGAATACATATTACTAGCATTTCAAAAATTTACAAAAATTTAACAAAATATTGTCCTAAACAGCTACCTTTATATTCGTAAACAAAGTATAAACAACTGGCTTATCCAGTTATACTGCAAGTCAAACAGGTGGCAAAACAATAATTCATCTTTGATTTTTAAAGAATAATAATACAAACTAAACTAATTGATACCTCACACAATACCATCCTAGGGAATTTCGGAGAAGGTGCCCCGAAGGATTCAAAACAGGCTCACACATGATGTCACCTACTCTGACAGACTTTTCTCTTTTTATTTATTTTTCTTTTCCTTTGACAGCCTTTTCATTGGCTCCTATTGCCTTGAGAATTTACAATTATTTTTCTCCCTACGAGATAGCAGTATTGTTGCTGGAGAATCCACAGATCTCTTTCGTTGTCACATGGGAAACCTCAGACAACAACACGAGAGGGTGGTTCGCTCTGTGACATCAGAGATGTTAAGATGGGGCCAGTATGCGCATGCTGCTATAGGTGGTAGATAGTAAAACGTGCACCTCCTATTTTAAAAACACAAACAAAAGTAGATCCAGATGACAAATTGCAACTCAATTTCTGCAGCAACCCTACCCCCAGGTAAATGGTTTATTCCTTCACTTTGCTGATATAGTCAGTGAATTTGCTGATGCTTTCCTCTTGCTGTTCCAAAGCCTCCAGGATAATGCCCATTGGCGTCCTCTTCACACCTATTCCCTCCATTTTATTCTCCAGCTTGTTCTTGAGATTCCGCAGTCTCAGTGATGCATGGATGAACATCACTACAAAGAAATAATCCACAGTTAGCACCAAAACAAGAATTCTCTGTTGCCACATTGTATTCCCTCCAGCTCTTCTCACTTCTAGATCACAGCCTCAATTAGCTGCAGTCCAATCTGTTTCTCCTACTGATCTAAGCAGTCAAGCACTTAAAAATTAGGAGAGAATTTAGTATCAAACAAGGCAGTGCAGGCTACAGCAGTTTGTGCTATATGGCTTGAGATCTGTTTGTGTTTTATTTATTCTTGATTCTCCATAAGTGTCTGACAACAGCAAGTACCCATACCTATTTTTGAAATTAATGAACTATTAAATATTTATTTGCTGTTTTGGAAAATTCCACAGACTTTAGCACATGCACCAGCACACATAAGGAATGAGTTATGTAACTCCCATTGGATACCCACCTACATTTTCTTACAATAGATATCAGAAAAAGAACACTCAGGTTCACTTACACAACAAAGGAAAAGTGATCCCAAATACAAAGACCATGACTCCCCCAAACATGGATATGAGGAAATAGCTGGCCAACATGACCACCATCACAAACGTGGTGGGGTACTGCTTCTTCATCCGACGGAGGATGTCTTTATTGTGGGCTGCCCACACGAACCCTGTGAACACCAGCACCACCACAATTCCTCCAAGGATCATGTTGAAGGGACTCAGAAACCTGGAATAGGAAAAAAACAAACAGGGAGACTCACTCAGCAGTAGGAATAGCAGGAGGAGAAAGAGGAGTAAAAGCAACCCCATTAGACCCACTTTTCCGTGTGTTCTTTTTAGACAGAATGAATGCATTCCATTTTGTTTCAGTCCCCACCTCTTCTTACTGTATCCTTAGTATAGGGACCCAAAGTGAATGTGACCCATTGTTGCTTTTCTAACAGCTGTCCTGAATGGCTTTCTTGTATAACCTGCTTGCCCCAAGAAAGCATTGGAGTTTATGACTTCTGACACTGAAAATCCATTCTCATTTTTCTTATTTTACTTTGTTTCTGTAATGAGAATTGGAGTCATGGCCTTTGCACAGCACACTGTGTTAAAAAAATTATTTTAAGATAAGATCTCACTAAGTTACCCAGACTGGACTTGAATTTGTTATTCTCCCTCAGCCTCCTAGAGTGCTGGGATTATAGATGGGTGCCATAACACTTAGATCAATTATCAATCTTTCACATCTTGAGGACACAGGTTGTCAACCCAAATTTCCAAGCAACGTGACTCCAGACTCATTGTTGTGTGAATCAAACATCCTTTTTAGATGATAGCCATCATACAAGTCTTGACGATGAGGGAAACACTAAGAAGAAATTTAGATTGAGTATTACACAAACCAGAATGATAGGGCATTGCAATCCCTAACCTCAACGCACTGTGTAGACGACATCCCGACATCCTAATGAACAAGACATTTGTGGTGGGAAAACACAAGGGGCATGAACTTTTCGTCCTGGAACCCAGTGAGGACTTCTCTTGGAGAGTTTGCACTGTACTCTCAGTCCACACGGCAGGTTGCAAAGGAGGAATGGGGAAAGTGATGCCAACAGTTCACTCTCCGCTGATGTGCAATGGACAAAGCAGTCCGATTGATAATTGGATTCACATTAGGGTAACCACAATTCTTTTTTTAAAAATGCCTTTAAATTTAGCTCTGACTCTGCTTACTGAAATATATAAACTCTTTTAAAATTTTAAAGAAAATAGAAATGTTTCACACCTTACTGCATGAAATCAAGTAATATGCCAATATAAAACTGCAGTGCAAAAATTAAAATTTTCTACTCAAAAGCAGCTAAACAGTGGTAAGAGTAGTAGAATATAATTTAATACCAGACCCTATAATAACATTTTATTTCATTCATAATCTTTGTAAATGCTTCAAGCCAATAAATCCCTCTCTCAGAATATAATCTAGGGAAACAAATAAAATTGCAAAAGTTGAGATATATCAGTATTCATATCCTTGGTATTTATGAGTAAAATGTTAGGGGCCAGAGATTTAGCTCAGTGGCATAACTGCCTGCCTTTTAGCACGAGGTTGTGAGTTTGATCCTGGTACCAAAAAAAAAGGTTAGAAATCATTTGCATGGGGAAAAAAACCCCAGCTGTCTGTCTTGGGGAAGACAAGGAAGGGCAGGCCAGCCACAGAGAATCTGCAGACTGAGCTGGGATCCGTGGTTTGGACTGGATAAGGAAGCTTCATGGTGGTCTGTGAATTGAAATTCTATTAATGATATTAGAGGGATGAGTTGGGTAGAGATGGATTATTGGACTTGGACTGTACCAAGCCTGGGTTAGGGTTTGAGGTGTGGGATAAACAGCTATTTTTTTTAAAGTTGAAGTATATTAAATAGAATGGAAAGACGTTAATATTTTGAGCAGGTTAAAAACAACTATAATATGTTCTTCCTGGTAGGTGGATGTCTCACACATGTGAGACAGCCTAAAGAAGTAGAAAATTTTATCATTTGTATATTATCTTATGATCAGAAATAAAAGGATCATATAAAGAAATAAATACAAAAGCAACAACTCCTCCGTCATGCTTTCTCTAACATTCAAATGCAAGCTGTTCTGTCTACTTGCCATCCTTTGATACTTCTGGGTTACATTTTGTCTCCTGATGTAGCCCTGGAACTGATCTTGGAAAAACAAAAATTTCCCTGCAAGTTTGAAAAAAAGACAGAATCAAACAGGGAAAAACCAGTACCCTTTTGAACAGGTGGTAGGGTCTCTGAGAAGAGGCCCAGGAACTCTCCCAGATTAATAAATCTCATTCCTAGAACCAAAAACAAAAACAAAAAAAAAAAAAACAAAAAAAAACCTGACAGCAATTAGACTAAAAAGACTACAGTAGTTACACTGGGTAGGAATATCTTGGATAGTTTTCTCTCACTTGTTTCTTTCCATTTTCATATTTTTCCAATGGCTATATATTATGAAAATCGTCTAGCTAGGCATGGTGGTACAAGTCTATAACCACACCATATGGGAGGCTAAGGCATGAGATTCATTAGTTCCTGGACTACATAGCAAAACCCTGTTTAAAAAAAAAAAAAGCAACACTTGATATTCAGAAATGACAAATGAAACTGGGGAAAGGTTACTGAAAGAAACACACCCTTTTACAAAAGCTTTAACCTTGGGGGCTGGGGATTTAGCTCAGTGGCACAAGCACCTGCCTTGCAAGCGGGTAGTCGTGAGTTTGATCCCCGGTACCAATAAAAAGGAAAAAGACAAAAAAAAAAAAAAGCTTTAACCTAGACCACATCCAAATATTTCTGAGCTGTAAAGAAGAGCAAAATAAAAATTAACACTGACTACTGAAACAGAGGGTTAAACTTTAAGGAAACTCCTTTGTATAAACTGCAAATAGGAAACGGTTGGCAGTAAAGTATCAAATGTCTCTGACTTAGCTCTTTCTACAATATTATTAAAACAATAATTCATGAGGCAGATATTAAAATTCAAGCTGATTTTCTATGTACTTTGGACAGCAAAGCACACATCTAGGTTGAATATGTATCTAAATAAAGCTCAGGTCAAAGAACAATAAAACTCCAGGCAGGACTCAAGCAATTCCAAATTTGCTTTTCACCTGTTCCTGCTGCTCATGTTCAGGGGAAAGAACAGGACTCCTATAGAACTGGTTTTAGCTTACAGCACACCCAGCCACAATCTATAATTAGAAAGTACCCAAGTTTCCAAACTGTAAAAAATTAACAAAGATACTCAGAGGAGAAATGATTTTATTCCCTGTTCTGATGACATCAATTCCATTCTGAGAAAAGGGAAAACATCTACCAAAGCCCTAATACCCACTTGCACTTAGAGCAAAAGACACACACACACACACACACACACACACACACACACACACACACACAACGCACACACACACACACAGAGAGAGAAAAGAGTAATTGTTTTCCAGTGAGTGTAGAACGAAGGAACCAATTCTTATCTGAGATGCTTTTAGCTAACATTTTTATTAGTCAAGACACAGCCTGACAACTTTTTAGGATAAAAGTTTCCATAAATGTGCTCCTCATCTTTCATGTGGACAGCTGTCACTGGACCCTGCGGGGTGGAGTTTCATTTTACTGGCAGCCCTCATCTAAGAAGGAGGGAGGACAACAGAGAAAGAGAAAGAGACAAAGAGACAGAAAGACAGAACACTTCGTTTGAATATAGGACCTAGTTATGCAAATGAGAAACATTAAATGTGGTTTCTACTGTGAGATAAAAAGATGTGTATATAAATTACCCCATTTCAATAAATAAATCATTCCTATCTTCTAATAGTTAGAAATTACAGTGAAATCATTTATGATTGCAAAGTAATTTTAGAAATCCATCACAACTTTTTTTCTTTTGGTCTTCTGAGACAGGGTCTTCTTATGAACTTCTTATGGACTATATGAGGAGTCCAAGTCTGGCCTTGAACTCCTCATATAGTCCAGGCTGGCCTCAAATTCATGGTGATCCTCCTGCCTTAGCCTCCCAAGTGTCAAGGTTTTAGGAGTACACTACCATGCCTGGCTTTTTTCTGTTGGTAGCGATGGCAGTACTGAGGACTGAACTCACGGCCTCTGTACACGGCCTCAGCCCTTTTTTATATTATTGGTTTTGAGACACAGTCTCACTAAGTCACTGAATTGCTCATGCTGACCTTGAACTTATGGTGCTCCTGCCTCAGCCCCCAAGAGTGTTAGGACTACAGGATGAACCATTATGGTTTATCACAAACTTCTGTAGCCAAGTTGTAATGGATGAATCAGCATAGTCTCATTATGCAGATGAATAAATGATGCCCAGAGAAATATATAGTCATAAGGGCCCAGGGGCAATAAAAGAAAAGAGGAATGCTTGTTACAAGGGCAATTCACAGTGTAACCCACTCCGTAGTGTTCACTGGCTTCAGAGATAGAGATACCCCTTTACCCAGAAGCAAACTAAGTGAGTGGCAAGTTAGTAACACTGTCCAAGGCCATCCCTGTGGAGTAGGCAATGTAATTTACCACCCCAGGGCTTCTCAGATCAATTCAAGCGAACATTTGGTTGCAGGGCCACCAAGAAGCCAAGAGCCGGAGAAATGTTTCCTAAGCAAGAGAAGCAGCTTTGCACCGAGTTCCAATTTTCTAACCCAAAAAGCTATTTTTGAAGTGTGGTTCTGAGAAAGGCTGACTCACTGAGCAGGGGGAGGTCAATTTACTTACAGTGTGCTTCTCTAAATGGGCGATGTTTTTCTGTGGTTCTTAAACGCCCAGAAGGACCATTGCAAATATGAATGCATCCATACCTTCTCTTGCTTCTTACTTCTTTTAGAATAAAAACGAAATTTTTAGCTGGGTGTGATGGTACAACCTGGAATCCCAGCACTCTGGGAGGCTGGGGCAGGAGGATTACAAGTTTGAGCCTAATTTGGGCAACTTAGTAAGACCTTGGGTTAAAATAAAAACATGTAAAAAGGGGCTGAGATGTAGCTCGGTGTGAAGTGTTGGGTTCAATCCCTAGTACCACATAAACAAAACAAAAAGCAGAATTCTTTCTATGTTCTACAAGGACTGCAGCATCTAGCCTCTGGCTGCAAAGTTAGTACCCAGGACAAGGCAGACTGCCTTAAGTGCGAGCTGGAATCCTGCCTGCTCTCCACAGGCCAAGTGTGTA